CAGCGCCATGGCGGCGTGGGAGCACCCCCCCTTAATGCCCGCAGGACATTCGCAGAGAGCCGCGATGACCTCCAGGGCTACCAGGGTTTGCGCCGACCGCGGGTCATTGCCCACGACCTCCTCCTCTTCCTCCCCCTCCTTCTCCTCTTGCTCCGTCGGGGGTGCGCTCTCATCCACTTCTTCCACTCGTAGTTTGATGCGGATGCGGTACTCCTTGTCGGCCGAGAAGGAGGCGCCCGCGCTGTGTGTTATCAGTTGGAGATGATTTCATCGGGATGGGAAGGTTGTTAGGCGCAGTCTTTCATTTTCGAGTTTTTAATCTCCACTACAACGTTGCTGACGGAGCAGGCAACGATCGAAAACAAAGTCAACGAAATGCAGCGTACCGCGCCGTCATGACGTGCGGGGAAAGCAAGGCAAGAACACGTGGGGGACCGGGTCTGTCCCTCGAGTATCGTAGAGGGTAACTTGTTTTGTGTACGATGCTGGCATCAGCGTCATTCCGACGGGAACATCTACACGGTTATAAACATGGTCAAGGCAGAAAAGCACGAATGCAACGGAAAGTACGTGTGCGCATAATGCACACAGACCCGGGTGGCAATATGCTGCGCTGTCACCGTCGAATCGTACGTCGGGACTAGATCAAGCATACTCCATCTAAGTAATCCGAACATCAAAACATAACAACGTTAGAACACACACCGGAAACAATATGACGGCAACGCGAAGCAGTATATGCCTATCCTCCTTCCAGGCGGGGTGCATTTCGTGCGCCTCACCTAGTCCCAATCCACATAATGCCCCCCGCTGCCGGAACGGCCCAAAACCTGCTGAGGTTCCCCATGTCCAACACCCGCTGCACCGATCTATACCAGAGCCGCGAGCCCTCGCCGGCGAGTTTCTTCACTTCTCCCATGAACCGTAAGATGACGGCTTTCGATATCTCGGGGAGATACCGCCGCATAGCGGACCACTCCTTTATGCGCAGCCCTGTCGCAGGAAGATCCGTCATTAGCCTGGCCTCCTTTTCCTCAAAAGAGCTGAGGTCCGGAACGGGATGGCGAAACGCCAAGTTGGTGTCCAACACACCGCAGCTCCTTATCAGCCTGACGACATCCCCAGCCATCTGAGCAAGGAGTGCTTTGTTGAACCCACTGGTCCCGGCGTTGTCGAGACACCTAAAAACCTGACGGCAGAAATGCACACGACAAGAGGAGAATCCCAAGCGTGTGGGGCGCATATACGTTCATGCTTAGCTGATGACGCACACCGAAACCCACCCGCTTATCTTAGGCGAAGAACAATGTATATCTTCGGTTACAATTTGCAATCTCCACGTGCAGTTGCCGCGTGCATCTCGTACCCCACCGCTGCCTCGAACAGAACGCGAAGAAACCAAAACTTGTAGGTTCGTTGTTACCCTACGCACAATAATCCCGTGTTCGAACGACTGCTGTAACGAAGTGGTTGACGGACATCAATATCTGACTTGTGGTCAACGTGACCATTACCGTAAACATACTGCGAGGGGGGCTGAATTGCACATATCCGGCGCCAATGGTGTACTTAATCTGCTCTGAGCGTGGCCCACCGTACGCGAACAATTTAACTACAGTCCAAAATCGCACAACTTGTGATAACTTGTGGGGTACCATTTTGGGGCTATTTCAAAAACATTACTTCTTAAACCAATCGGGATATCCGCCCCGAACCTTACTAACAGCAGCCGCAGTGCGCTGTGTGCAAAGCGGAACGTGGTGTGTGGTCTCTTTTGTAAGCGTGTGTGCGTACATCGCTCAACCTGCTGTTGGATGGTCGACAGGCGCACCCGGAAGCCAGTAACGGCAGTCTGAAAGACGAAGCGCCAAGTTTACAACACAGGATGCACTCTTTACCCAAAATATATTTTGAAGTAGTAATAGTCTATGGACCAAATATTCTGTCACAGCCATAACTGTAAGTACCCTCCCCGACTAGTACCCTACTGACAGTAGCTCTCTAGAAAAAATGTCGCTAAAAACCCATATTTTACTCACGCTTAGAAACTCGCGAAGCTTAGGCACGGTCAACTTGGTGTAATCTTCAGTTTCCGCCGGGAGTCTGCTGAAGCCGTGCTCGCGGTAGTTGTTTGTGTCTTGAGGACCTCGAGAGCGAGACGCCCTGCTGCTAGCATTCGGGGGGCGGGTGCTAGCCGTCTCGGGTGTTGCCCTTTTCTTCTGCCTGCCAGCATCCTCGCCTACCGCCTGCCCCTTCGCTTGTGCTGTACCCAGCGGTGGGTCCCATTCGCGCCCGGTCAGCGGACAGGCATCTCTCCGGGCCACACGGGACGCCAGCGGGGATAGCTCCGACGTCCCTGTACGTGCAGGATGCGAGCATGACAGTGAAGGGAGTTCAGGCGATAGTATATGCAACGCCGTCACTAAATGTATCTGCTTCAGTACAGCAGGCTTACACAGTATGCAGTACAGCGGGAGCCGTGTAATCACGGGACGAGCAAAGCCAGACCGAGGTCATTGGTGGGTTTACCTGCAAATCTACTTTGTAGAAAGCATGTTTGAAGGTACATCAGACCTCCTTGCTGCACGCAGACTCCAGTGTAAAGGACACATTTTACTAGTGTGTAAGGTCTCACTGCTGGCGCCCGACTACAAGTAAGGTGACGTCGGGAAACATCAACCAAAAGCTGGTCTCAGGTACGAGGAGCATTCTTACACACACAAAAACGCGGAACACTGACCTGCATGGCGGGTGATTTCCTCCCTGGTCGGCGCGCCGGACAAATGTTGGAGTTCTCCGCTCAGCGGGTTCCACACCACGGGCTGTGTAAACATGGTGTGGCAGGCGCGCAGTCGGATCTCAAACTCACGCCGCACAGCAGGCGTGTCCTCCTCCCTGGACTCCACCAGCAGCCTTGAGGCCAGGTATCCCACAACCGCATCGAATGGTAGCAAAGATGCCGCCCAGACACCGCTTTCGGTGTCAACGAAAGCTAGCCTTGCAGCAGTAACTGGTCCGACATTTTTGAATTTCGCGAAGTCGTTGCCTACGATAATGGCGAACAAGAGAAGGCGGCGGCGGGCGGTCGGTTCCGGTAGAGGCGTGTAGTCTAAGCCCTCGTCAACTGGCTGGTGTATCCCGTGCAGCTGGCGCAGCCAACCATGAGCATCCCCGCTCCGGAGGAAGGACCATGCGGTGGGTTGGAAGAGCAGCCTCTGCCGGACGCATCTTCCGACAAGCTCTCCTCTCGCGTTCTTGACCACTTCCACCAAAAGATCCCGTACCCCAAGAACTGTTAAGTCGGAGTCATTGGCATACACGTACACGTTCGCCCCTGTTGCGAGATGGATGTCCTGGAAAACTACAAGCTGTGGATCCGCTTCGCCTGGGGCGATGTAAACCTCCCCCCTGATACGGGCTCTCAAGCGCGTTGCGATCTCAGCGGTAACTCGACCGTCGAAAGCACAAGCAGCGCTGGCCAACTTGTTGATCTCCACGGGACAGCCACCGGCGTCGTGTAGAGCGCGCGCCTGTTGTGCACTCTTCTGCCTCCTTTCTCGTCGGTGTTGAGATGTCCCACTCTTGGCCGGAGGCGGCCGACCGTCGAACACTACCGTCACTAGGAAATTGCGGTCTTCAAAGAGCTTCATATCTCGGGCACACTCCTCTACTTGACGGGAGACGTCGTTGTTGAGAAGTAAATTTGCCGCCGCTACCCCCCTCAAACACATGCGGTGATTTAGGAACCCGCCGTCGACGATGACATGATGTTTGCCTTGTCCGTTTTCAAGATCAATCCTGACCGAAGCCACGCTTTTAGACAAGCGGGAGAGCGAATTGACTCCCATCCCAACTGAAGGAAAGAGGGCGTGGGGGTGACAGAGAGGAGTGGCAGATGGGAGAGAGGTCCCCGAAAAGGACCAAGTTCGAGCATGCGACTGGACCGGTCTCTGTGTTGCAAAAGGCAATAAATTTTTCAACGGCGGGCTGTTCGGGGCCGCTTTTGGAGACCGGAGTAGGATGTAGGATGGTCGCTTCGGCCCGTGTGGCGAGTGGAGGATGGTGCAGCAGCAGAGGATTGGCCAGCTGTCACAGCGTGCTTGTCAGGCTCCCCCGAGACTATCGAGGGTGTGGATGCCACGCACCTCATGTCGTACGTCATGTACTGACTGGCGGCAAGGGCGCGGCAGCACCCCCTATTTTAAAGCAGCTGCTCCACTACTGCAATATTATTCGAAGCATTGATCATGTCTTCTACACGCACGAGTCGAAAGTCGTGTGTTAGGAGAGACAGGTCAACAACTTCGGTGGCTCGCAACTTGGATGTAAGCCACCTCGTCACAAGCGTAGACAGAGACAAGTGCCTGACGCTGAATCGCCACTGGTGCGAGTGTGCGCAGTTCTCCTTACTACACTCTGGTTTACCATATGCAGATAGATGCATACTTGTGTTGCGCGTCGTTTGTTGCCTGCTGTCATACCAACGACTGCTGTCATACCAACGAGGGCAGATATGATACTTAAAACAGAACAACACAATCAACGACGCCGAGGGTCGTTTGGCACCTGACATTAGAACGATCTACACTCGTTGTATCGGGTGCCCACGTACCCATACAAGAAATGAACCACGACAACCCACCACTACCAGTACCACAAAGAAAGCTGACCTGACCTGAGAGGATACACAAACGGCATACATAAATCGTCCCCCGACTCCTAAACGCCCCCCCCCCCTCTGCCAATGGCGACCCCTTCTTCTTTCTTTCTCGTAATCTACTGCGTCCCTTACGACTGCGAAAATTGATAACGTGCAACCCCCCCCCCCCCCCTCGTAAAAAAAAAGGACAACACACACCCGCCTCACAAAAACACCAAAATGACTGCACTTTCCTTCGCAAAACGAGGACCCCCTTGAGGCGTCCCCCTTGAGGCGGGCCGTTTGGCGATCGACTAAAAACCAAAAGCGTTTGACCGGCATGCTCAGAAATATCGTCAACCTAGTTAAATCGGAAGGGAGGATAGCCATTGCCCTGATTGAGGTCGTTGTTCTGTTGCCCGAAAAGCTGCATATAGCCACTCTGGTTGGTGGCACCTTGGGAGGGTGTACCCATCCGCTGTGTGGGTGCACCCATCCCCATCGACGACCCCCCTGCCCCCTGGGTCGGCATCATCCCCATCGACGACGCCCCCGCCCCCTGGGTCGGCATCATCCTCATCGAGGACGCACCCGCCCCCTGGTTCTGCATCATCCCCATCGTGGAAGCACCAGCCCCCCGGGTCTGCATCATGTTGTGTGGCACCGACACGAACCCCCCCATTGACTGGGTGCCTTGAGCCATGGCGTTGTTGTGGGCCTGGTCGGAAACACGTGCTTGATTGGCGTTGCCCTGCGACAAAGCGGTGCCCATTTCAGCGGCTATCTTCATTAACGTGTTACCATCCACCGTCGCCAGAGCCCCATGCGTCGTCGCCTCTTCACGTTCGTCACTGGACACGCACCATCACGACAACGCAGGACACGCGTCAGAAAGAAGCGGGTGTTGAGTCTATCCGCGGGTACTTTGCAACGTATCACCAGCTCTCGAAATGGAACCAACGAAGAGAGACAGTCCGACCTTTTACAACCTAACCTTCCTCGCCTTGATTTACGATTTGCGGTGGCTGCGTGGATGCTATAAAGCGTCAGCGACGGAGAAAAAGGTGACGGGCCACAACCAAATTACACCAAGTGTACTCACCTCCTCCGCGTAGTCTCGTGCTCACGCGGACTGCGCCTTTTCGGCGATGGAGTCTTGGATGGGGGGCCTCTCTTGTTGCCCGAAATACTCCTGTGGGTTTTTGGCAGATGCGTAGCGGAGGATCGAATGGACGGGAGGCGGAGAGTTAAATAGAGGGGGGTTGGAGCGTTGGAAGGAGGGGTTAGAGGGGTATGGGGTGGCTGTCGGAGCACTTGTTTCCCTAACCAACGACGCCCAAGACCCGACTAAGCCGGAACACTTACTCGCGACTCGGAGAGTCAAAAACCAAAGGCGGCGCACGCAACGGTGCCCTCGTCGACCTCTTTCCCAGAACACTCACGTATACAACAACAACAACAACAACAAAAAACCTATGCCGCACACCCACATACACCCGAAAGGTCTAGAACAACGAATTGGGTACTTCGTTGCGGGGGCATCACCCACCCTTGTGTGGGGTGCCCCGAAAACACTCCAGGAACAAACATCAACACTCACTCGTCGAGCTGGCGGCCGTTCTCCTTCACGACCCCGGTGATGTACTCGCATGCGTTCGTCAAGCCGCTTTGGATGCTGGTGAACAGCGACCCAAAACGCGTCTCTTGGTCGGCTTTCGCGCTGCTCTCCATCTCAGTCAACCGTGCCTCCAGGCCCGTCTTCAGCTGCAGTACTTGACTTGCGACCTCGGTCTTCACCAGGGTCATCAGTGCCTCGTTGTTGGCCATGACGCCGGCTTTGGCTGCCGCGGTCAGCTTGGCGTCTGACACCTGCGGAGTGCTTTTCTACGGACGCGGTTTGGGCAGGCGGCACGACATGTTGTTGGGGGGCGGACGAGTAATGAGGAATATGCCATAGGTGCCACATCAGTCTTCGGTTGGCGAATGACAAAGTCCAAGGCAGCCGGAGAAAGATGCGGCTTTCCTCCCGAGCACAGCTTCTAGGGACCGATTTTTCGTATTTACGGGTACTGATAGATATACTTGTAGCAATGCCAAGTGGTTGTAGGATTGTGTGGTACGTGGAATGTATTTCCAGGGTGTGCAAGGTACCCCTGTTGTATACTGCGTCGCCCCCGTACTGATGGTGCGTGCGCGTGTGCGTGCAGTTCGTTCATGTGTTCATGTGAGTCCATGTTTTTCATGTGAAGAAGAAGTCTATACAACAACCCAGCACATCTTTCCTCCTTGGCGCTAGTTCGCCGAGTTGCCGACACCCTATTCAACACACGTCTTGCGACAAGCTACCCCCAGTTCGGATCATCCTAACACGCTAGCGTGTGATATCACACGGGATCCCTAGGTGAGGTTAGCTATAAAAGGGTTCGGCTAGAGAAGTAGATCATGGAAGCCCTCGACCTCAGCAGCTTAACTGAAGAGGACCGCCAAGCATTATCGGCGCACATCAAAGAGGAAGTGGAGAGAGGAGTACAAGAAAAAATCAAGTTTACCGAAGAGAAGCGTCCCGCATCAGAGAGCGTGGACAAGCCCCCCGATGGAGGCGATCCCCGGCATGCTCGGCCGGCTGGAACAGCGTTAGACCCGCAACCTGAAGACCAGCCACGATCGTTGGAGGACCGTCTCGTTGAGTCCTTCGCGCGGGCAATGCGGAGGACCAACACTCCGGGGGAGGAAACCAGGGAAGTCTTACCCCCTAAGGACACCATTCGTGTCAGTCCTGTAATACATGTAGCCCCATTTACGGGTGTGTTCGATTCGAGTGTCGATGTCCAGGTTAGAGTGCAGGTTTTTGAGAGCCAATTTCGGATGTTGCTGCAACAAGAAGATTGCCTGAGCGCGATACAATCAGAAGAGACGATCAAGGTGGGGAAACCAGATGCAGACATTCCCAATCTGAAGGAGGAGTATGGTAGGAGGGCCGTAGAGAAGGCTATGAAGGCATGGCAGCTAATACTGGCGAAGATTCAGGTTGCATCGATCGTTCCAGCCATTATCTCTAGTGGTTGCCCCACGGAATCATGGAGGATATTCCGAAACTACTTTGAAGTGCACGCCCACACAGAAAAGACTAGCCTCCAACTAGAGTGGCAACAATTGACGCAGAAGGGAGACCAACATCCCAAAGAGTACCTGTCGAGAGGGTGGGTGCTAAGGCAAAGATTGTCGTCATGCGGCGTGATGATAACTGAAGATGATGCCAACAGACACCTCGTGCGCAACCTCCTCCCGGATTATGATGTATACACAGGTTTTCTCATGTCCGAGAATGGTCTGGAGAGGGAGAGGGTAGAAAGAATCATAGTGAATGCTTGGGCGGAGATGGAGGCGAGAAGGAAGAAGAAGCAGGAGAGCGTGGGGGCTTACGCCCTCGTCACTGGCGGTGAGAACCGTAGTGGCGGGGGAGGGAACACGGGGGGACCAGGGCAGTCGAGAGGACAACGGAGGACGGGAGCGCGACAACAGCAGCAACAACCGCAGCAGCCACAGCAGCAGAATCAGCAATACTTCTATCGACAGCAACAGATGTACCCGCCGCCGCACCCGCCCGAGATAAGATATTGTGACCTCCACAACACCCCGTCCCACAGCAACGATGAGTGTCGCTGGCAGCGAGGTTGGGGAGGTCCCTCGGGCAGCCAAGATGCGAGATACGGCGGAAGGTACGGGCCCCAGCATGGGGGCCGGGGCTTTTCTGGAGGAGGACGTCATCAGCAGCAGCTGGCAAGAGGAAGACACGGTGGACGTGGCGCCACTCCCGGTGGATGGGGCAGAGGCCCTCCTCACCAGGGAGCACCAGGCAGCAATCTTCCCGCCTACCCCGTGCCTCAGCAGGGGTACGACTACAGCGCTTACCCTCCGAACATCTACCGCCCCCAAGGAAACGAGCCACCTATCCACGCAGCAGATCCGAGGAAGCGGTGCGAAAACTGCGGTGAGATGGGCCACAACCACATCTTCTGCCCTTCACGGGTGGATGTAGGCAGACCAGCCGGCCAGCCCGCAGCGCCCGCACCGCCCCGGCCCCCGGCCGCGGGATACAACACCCAGCGGCCACCGTGGGCGCACTCCTACGGCCAGGCTAACACCGCACAGCAGTACGGCGGAGAGGCGCACGAGACAGGAGCGGCAGCAGGCACATCAGCAGGAGCGGCGGCAGAAGCGCAACAGCAACCGGTGATGCACGTGAGCGGCGTTTACCATAATCCTGTGACGCACGCGAGCGGCGTTTACCAGTACCCGCCCCAACAGCAGCAGCCGGAGTACCCCCCCCCCCCCCGTGCAACAGCAGCAGCAGTCCATCCCCAGCCCGTACGCTCCTCCGGCGCCTTCGACCGGAACGTCTCCATCGGCTGGTGGGGATTTGCATGCGTGTGTGATGTGGGCTTTTCCACGTGAGTCAGAGAATGGTGTGCTTGTAGAGCGTAGGGTCGAAGGATATGCCATGATGAACATGATAGATGAGAGTGTAGGAGACGAAACTTGGCTTGCAGACTCTGGCGCAACGAACCACTCCACAGGAGACCCTAGGTGCATGTACGATGTGATGATTCCTCCCCCTGGTAGCGAGCGAGTGGTGATTGGAGATGGAAGGATTATATCTGTACTTGGTATCGGGAGCCTGAACGTAAAGTTCCACAACGGTAGGAGCGAGTTTTGCGTGAAGCTCACCAACGTACGCCACGTTGAGGGAATGGATTTAATTTATTTTCGCTTCACAAGGCCATGGGCGGGCAACGCATAGTAATGGATCCTGTAGGCATTCACCTATTGGACGGAAATTTAACTTTTCCCCGTGGCGAGCGTGGTTCATCGTTGAGAGCCACTCGCCTGCCCCCGAATTACGGGACGCCCATTGTTGTGCCCGTGACAACGCCGTTTCCCCCGCCCGCCCCTCGTTCTGCCGATTACGTTAGTATGAGTGGTCTTGAATCTATGCATGCAATCCCCCGCATGCAGCCTTCCCCCCAAGGTGTAGCGTACGTGCCCCCTCCCTCGGTGTTTAGTGTACCGCCCACTGTCGCCAGCGCCAGCAGTGTAGTACCTCCAACGGTGTTTAGGTTCCCGCCCACTGCAAGCAGTGTCGTGCATCCATCTGTTCCGAGGAGCATAGTGCCGTCCCATGTTTCTGGTTTCCCGCCCGCTGCCAGCAGCGTAGTACCTCATGGAGACCCCCCCCACAGGAATATTTTTCATGCACCCGTGTCGAATTTTCCGCCCGCTGCTACCGGCGTAGTACCTTCCACGATGTACGGTTACCCTCCCGCTGCAAACAGCGTAGTACCCTCTGCTGTGTCCGGTGTCCCGCCCGCTGGGAACAGCGTCGTTCCTCCGGCAATGAATGCCCCCCCCCTCGCTGACAGGAGTGTGGTTTTTTCTTCCGCTCCTCAAGTACCTCATGGAATGGAGTTGGTAGGTGTTCCCGGGCTGCCCTCGCCCGACGTCTCCGTTTTTCAAGAGAGTATTGATGATGATGACCGTGGGTGCATTCCGTTCACGGAGCAGGGAGATTACGAGTGGGCTGTGTACCTCTTAGAGCGACGAGAAGAATCAGACGACCCCCATGAATTTTTGGAGTTGATGTTTGAGTCTGGCTTTGCGAATGTCTTCGATGATGTTGCCTTTGCCGTCCCAGTCATGGCCCCGGGCAAGCGACCTTTTTCGGTGGGGAAACCCACCACCCGTTGTTGACATTAATCTTCTCCACGTCTCGTGTTCCCATGCGAATGAGTTTTTGTTGCGTGAACTTTCGAAGCAGCACGGCCTCCGCCTGACCGGTGTTCTGCAGCCTTGTGGTGGTTGCATACAGGCGAAGGGGAAGAAGGCGGGCGTGCCCCATAAAATGGGCGCGCGCGCGAGCGGGCCGCACGATCTTTGGCACATCGATCTATGTGGGCCCATGACGGCGTCGCTGGGGGGATCATTTTTCATGATCATGTTCGTGGACAGTTTCTCGCGGTGGATGAAGCTGTACGGGATGAGGCGCAAGTCGGACACCCTCGCCTTCGTCAAGAAGTTCCTCGCCGACATGAGTGGCACCGGTGTTCCTCGTTCTTTCCGGATGGACAACGGGGGGGAGTTCCTCAGCCACGACTTCATCGCCTTCTGCGACCACGCCGGCATCCGCCGTACGTACACGGCGCCGGGCACTCCGCAACAAAATGGCCCGGCGGAGAGCGCGATCTGGCGCGTGAACAAGACCGGCCACGCCGCTCGTCTCGAAGCATGCCGCCTGTTCCCCAAGATCGACTTCACCCGCATCCCTGGCTACGGGCGCGATGGCGAGCGGCTCTGGCTAGAGTCATGTCACTGGGCTGCCGGCGGCTTCAACCGTTCCCCGACCACGGCGAACGGAGGGTACAAGTCGCCGCACGAGCTCTTCACCGGTCGCCCGCCCCCACTCCAGATCGTCCCGTTCTTGCAGCCGGGGTACATGCGTGTGACGCGTACGCGGAAGATGGACCCCCAGGCAGTGCTGTGCTGCTACCTCAACAATGGCGACAACCACCACGACTCGGCGGTCAAGGTTCTCAAGTTTGCTACGGGGCGCGTGTGCATGACGAATAACATTGTGTGGGTCTCCGACCGCGCGCCGTTGCTGACCCCGCCGCTGGAGCTGCCGGCACCGGCGGGCGAGGGGGGGGATTCAGATGTCGCCGCCGCACCGACGTTTTTAATTGAGTACATTGCACCGCCTCTCTTACCCCCCTCACCGTTCGCCCGAACCCCCACTTCACCCGCTGCCATACCCTCACAGGCGCCGCCGGCAACTTCCACACCACCATCGCCGGCGGCGCCGTCTACCGCAGCCCCGCCACCGGTCACCACCACCGCGCCGCCTGCAACGCCGTTCGCCGCCGCGCCACCGGTCACCACCACCGCGCCGCCTGCAACGCCGTTCGCCGCCGCGCCACCGGTCACCACCACCGCGCCGCCTGCAACGCCGTTCGTCGCCGGGCCACCGCCTGCTCCGTCAGTAACACCGTCTCCCGCCGCCGTGCCGCCCGGTGCCGCGCCATCGACCAACATGCCGCCGCTCACCACGAGGACCATCCGTGAACTGGACGTGGGACGCGGGGACATGAGGGTTTCTGGGCGCACGAGGGCAGCCGCTAAGGCCCAGGGGGGGGGGCGGGCTTCGTCAATGCCGCCCCTCTCTGCCAGGGCCAATCGAGAGCTGGACTTGGGACGAGAGACGCGGGTGCCGGGGAGGTTGAGGGATCGGAGGGTGCGTTTCCAGGATGAAGGGGACGAGCGGTCGACGACACATGGCGGGAGCGGCGACGCTCCCGCCCACCGCTTCGGACTTGTTTCCCTGCAGGACAAGACAACGCTCCTGTCAACCCTCACCACTCGCAGCGTCGTCGATGGGGGGAGAAAGGAGATCCCGAGTTCAGCCAGAGGACATGGTGGAGCGGAGCTGGGGGGGGAAGAGCGGGGGGGCACGAAAACAGAAGGACTGCGTGAAGAAGTCCCATTTGCGTGCGCCACCTTACTTGCCTCCCGCGAGGACATTGATCGCGCGATGAGGGATTTAGATCCCCCGGAAGTGGCACCGGACTTGCCCCAATGCTATGCTAGTGACTTGCGCGTCCCCAAAACGTATAGGGAGGCTGTGTCCTCTGAGCATGCTGACTTGTGGATGGCATCTGTAGAGAGGGAGTTCAGAGGTCTGATCGAGGCTGGTACCTTTGAGGAAGTATTGTAGCAACCAGAGAGTGTTATCAAGGCGAAGTGGGTATTTGATTGGAAGTCTGATGAATACGGATGGCCAACTAGTGTGAAATCACGGCTAGTAGCGAGAGGAGATATGCAGCGAGTACATGTAGATTGTGGAGAGACGTATGCACCGACTGTAGCGGTTTCTAGCGTTCGTTTATTGGCAGCGATGGCGTGTGAGCAAAATCTTTCTCTCCGTCATTTTGACATCAAGCAAGCATTTGTCCAGTCGGATTTGGATGAGGATGTTTTCATGCGTCTGCCAGAGGGGTGTGGTAGATTGTCAGGTATGATAGTGAAGTTGAACAAGAGTCTGTATGGCCTTAAGCAGGCATCGAGGAAATGGCATTCAGACTTGGCGAGGTGTTTGATTTGTTTGGGTTTTATTCAATGCATGGCGGACACGTGTGTGTTTCGATTGATTGAGGAGGGAAAAGTGGTAGTAACTCTGGTGGTACATGTAGATGATATATTTTCGATAGGAGAGGAGGAGAGGTGTGACCAGTTTGGCAGAGATCTCAACACCATGGTACCGGTGAAGAATCTTGGGGATTTGAGGTGGTATTCAGGATGCTTTTATGAGAGAGATTGGGATGCAGGGACTTTGAAGATATCGCAGCAGACGTACGCTGAAGAGTTGGGGATGGAGTTTGGGGTAGAGTACGGGAAGGAAATTCCTCTTCCTGTAGGGTTGAAGCTTTCAGAGTTTGACCAAGATGAAGAAGTGGTATCAAGGCCTTTTCGTGAGCTGATAGGATCATTGATGTGGCTGGCAACGCAAACGAGGCCAGATATCGCGAACGCAGTGAGAGCGGTAGCACGGTACTGTGCCTCTCCCAAAGAGATTCATTGGAGAGCAGGTCTTGGTATTTTGGGGTATGTAGTAAGGACTAGTGACTTGGGTATTACATTCAGGAGGGGTAGTGTAGCAGGGTTGAGCATGGAGGTGTTCGCAGACGCAGACTATGCAAGTAAGGCTGCCGATAGGAGGTCTGTGTCAGGAGGATTGGTGATGTGTGGGGGGGGATGTATTTCTTGGTTTTCAAGGACGCAGAAGTGCGTTACGTTGAGCACGACAGAGGCGGAGTATGTCTCCCTTGCGAATGTGATGAAGGAAGTGTTGTTTCTGAGGCAAGTATGGCGTTTCATGTTGCCAGAAGCCGGTATGCCGTGTATTCCGGTGTTCGAGGATAACCAGGGGGCTATTCAGTTGGCACAGAACCCAATTAGCAACAGTAACTCGAAGCACATCGACGTAAGGCACCACTTTATCAGGGATTTGGTACGCAGGAAGGAGATTTCGATTTTTCACGTGGAATCGGCGTATCAACATGCTGGCTTCCTCACGAAGGCACTTAACGTGGGAAATTTCGAGTTTCATCGTAACTTCGTAATGAGTATGGATTAATATTTTTATGTTTGGGTTTATTTTGTGTGCGATCAAACAACTAGGGTGGCAATATTTTGCATTTTTGCCTATGGTTTTTCTCAATGGATGGTGTTCTAGGCTGGGGGGCAATTAGTTCGCTGAAGTTCGAAGAATTATAACTGGTATGATCGGGGAAGGGTATTGATGTCTAGCCAAGAAGGCTATTGTTCTGGAGTTGAATTGAGTTTATGATTTTATTTTCTTGTGTTTTGGAGTTATTGAGGATCGAAAAAGACATGGCATGGTCACAAGCAGGGGGGCTGATAGATATACTTGTAGCAATGCCAAGTGGTTGTAGGATTGTGTGGTACGTGGAATGTATTTCCAGGGTGTGCAAGGTACCCCTGTTGTATACTGCGTTGCCCCCGTACTGATGGTGCGTGCGCGTGTGCGTGCAGTTCGTTCATGTGTTCATGTGAGTCCATGTTTTTCATGTGAAGAAGAAGTCTATACAACAAGCCCAGCACATCTTTCCTCCTTGGCGCTAGTTCGCCGAGTTGCCGACACCCTATTCAACACACGTCTTGCGACAAGCTACCCCCAGTTCGGATCATCCTAACAGGTACGTTCTCCAGATCCATCCTCAGGACTCGCGCGGCTACGTTCTGGAATGATGCGACAGGTCACCAAATCTGCGGTTCGGGGGACCTTCAATGGAAAAATAAATCATTTGCCACACGTACCTCCCGCGCGGGTAACCACAACGCCGGACATGCACAGCACTTCCAATAACAGCCAATGCTAGCAGCAATAACAGCGGTGTTGCCAAAATCCGCAACGAAAAAACATACAGTTATATGTACCCCCACACATCCACATGCATTACGCAAAATTCCATGAGGGACGAACTCGTAGGTAATGACGGGCGAAGAGGAATAACCAAAGGAAACATCGCCCCGCATTTTCATATTTTTGGGCGCAACGGACGTGTTTTTGTCCACGAGGGGGCATCCTGGAAGGACACAACGTCCTTGATCCCAGACAGGAAGGCTGGTTTTGGGTAGAGCTTGAACAAAATGCTCAAGCACGAGAGTGTGATACGTCAGTAGACCAACACACTCGTCTTGCCCTACCGTCAACGTCCTGCCCGAGGTGTGGAGGTCGAAGGATTTTCCCACGACATCGCCTTGTAGGGATTGCTGGGCTTAAAGAGTATTACCAGAATAACCGTCACCAGACCCCGCAACCGTTAGTCAACGCACGACATAAACGCATTGGTCGTCACCTGTGCTGAAGATTTCGCGAGTGCTTGGGCGGTGGTCTTCCATTTGTTTGCCGCCTCGACGGAGTTGTCCTTCCACTTGTTGGCAGCGTCCGTCTGTGTCACAGGCAAGATAACACGATTCACAGGGCCGAGACAAGAATGTACACATGTCCATGAGGGTCTGTTTGCCGGCCGTTCGTTGCAGACCTCACCAAATCACTGCACGAGCAGCACCATCAGCAGCTACAGCAACATGGTCATGCAGAGTTGGCAACTAGCAAATAAATTCCCATGCTGTGACCACCCACTACACGAGGCGGATGGAAATCGTTTAACTAAAAATACGCACCGGGGCATTGTGGTAGGTAGGGGGGTTATATAACGAAAACAAACAACACCGAGGTGAGATGAAAAAAAAACAAATATAGTCGGGGATGTAGCCACGGGATACTCTCGAGGCTTTTCTTGTGCTACGGACGCATTCGGGGGGTGGTTACGCGGGATATTTGGTACGTGTTCATGGGTATTTCGGCAGGTCGTTGATTCATGTCCCTTGTCACGCGTACGCCAACACCTACATACTTGTTTCTTAAATGCGCCGGTTGCACCAAACAACTCTAAGAGATGGAACTCGAAACTATGCACCCAATATCAATACCGTGCCTCACCTGTGCCTTGGCTAAGTCTGTGAGGGGTGCCTTCAAGTGCTGGGCGCATGCTACCATGTATCGGGTGTAGCTGTAGTTGACCTTGAAGGATATAGGGTCTACGGCAGCATATTCTATGCGAAGAGTTCACGCCTTCCTCCCGTAACGATGCGCATCTCCCATGGCAAGCAGAATGGATGACGTCATCATGACGCTATTTCTTGTGACTACACGTTCAAGTTCGCCCGGGCGTTATTGTTCTTGCCGGAGAAAGAGACTAAACTTCTACTACGTACCAGTCCGTGCATGTATCCGGCTACTGCATGTAACGTAGTGGGTGCTGCCCCTGCTGTTTGCTGCGGTACATGGAAAGCTTCCAGTGGGTGAGAGCGGCAAGGGGGTCTTGTTTCTTCACTTGTTTCTTAGCTCTGCTCTCCTCTACTTCTCTTCTTTGTTTCCTGTCGCTGGTGGTCTCTCTTTTGTGATCGCCCTTCGTTATTGCTTGCAAGAAACTATGAGGATGTAAACTGGCTGAGTCTGACTATTTCTTAGGGTCCCCCGCCCACCCACGACCCACCTGTCGGTATGATTCATTCGTGGTCTCCAATATTTTCAGCAGTAGTTGTCTACTACAGGACATGCGCTACTACTGCGTCCAATGGTGGGTCCAACAGAAGAGCTCCGGGGACTGGTGGTCTTCTGACCTGATCGCAGAGAGAGGTTCATGCCACTACCACAATACGACTCTTATGAAATGCCCATGACGGGGAACGTGTCCTACGTCTCTTCTCTTTTCTTTTTTCCCTCTCTCCCGTCCGGTTCTTTCGTTTCGGAGAGGAAACCTACTGTTAAAAGCGTATCCTCTGGGGTCCGCATTCATTTAGTCCCGGATTCTTTCCCAGCGTGCGGAAGAGCACGTTCTGGGTGTGGTCTCCTTTTCATTCGGGTATGACGTGCGCACTACATGTATGTAAACGAAAAAAACAGATCAACGAGATGATTCTTGAAAGCATGGAGTCCCTCGCCACAAAAAAGTGCATGCGCATGGATGGGCGTAGTGAGATATGCCGGTCGAAGACTGACGGTTTTTCGGGTGCGCGTGAGGTCGCCTCTAACATTCGTTTGCTCATTGTTTGGTTCATTGTCCAGTCTACAGATACTACCTCGCATAGCATATCGAAGCGAGCGGAAGGTCCTAGACTAGTCTGTCGTTGACTTGCGGACCCTTCTTCGGGTCCATTTTATTTTCGTATAACTTTTTGGATAAGATAGCCTGTGACCACGGCGGGAATCGACCGCGTCAAGTGTCAGACTATCATGTATGATAGTACGAACAGACGAAGAAGGTACAAGAAGGTACTGGGTAGAGAGAACAGAACGAACGGTTTTTTGTAATTAATTGTGAAGATAACAGCAACGGCACTGCTGGGTTCGTCCATGGATAGTTTTTGCAGCACTTTTTTGTTAAGTATTTGTGTATAAAACGACTTCTTCATGGATGGGTAATGAGAGGTTTCAATTCAACTACTACGGTAACTTACTTACTGGAGTATGGAGGGTGCTCGTTGTTCCTATGCACGGCATGTACCGGCAGTAGTAGGTGACAATATATCAGAATATATCGCACCATCAGTATTCACAGCTAATAATGTTAGTCCACGACGACGAGGATGTCAAACGATAGGTTTGTTTCGGAAAGCTATCGGTGCCAACGCTGCCCGGCCACGATTTCTGCTGTGGAGTAATCGAGCTTTGAAAATTAAAAATTGTGAAGCGGGTGTGATATCTTACGTCATCTACTCTGTGTATAGAACTCTTTGTCGTGCTTGGTGGGCGAGCGTGTCGCGGTGTGCGCCCTCGACTTTATTAACGGCTATAAACTGGAAAGCTTCAGACAGGCAACGCGACAATACTCGTCGAGTTGCTATCACAATGTTCTAAACAATTTCCAGGAACGTTCGCACACGAAAGCACACGTATCACAGGGATGCCTCTCATCCCTATTCTTTGGGCAACCAAGTGTCGACACCGCAAACAGGAGAAAAGAGAGAGCACTTTCTGCAGCAGTGCATTCGTCAGGGTTGCCCCGGCTGTACGACACCCGGGGTCTGGTAGTAGCGAGGCGCACGCCACAAGTGCAGTCTTGCGTTTGTCGACGCGCGTGGCGGCCGCAGCGTCTTTCCTCGTGTTTCCCGTATCTACAGCAGTGGTCGCCATGTCCTCGCCGGCTCGCATGCCCGCCGATCCGGCGGCCGCGTCCCCCATGAGGCAGGGGCGGACTACGCCGTCGTCCAAGATCCCATCCTCGTGCAGCGCGGCGACACCCGCGTCATGGATCTCGAGCGCGTGGGGGTGTTTCCCGGGCTGAGGTCGTGCGCGGGCACCAAGAACCTCTCCGTGCTGATCGCGGTCCTGCAACCACTGGTCGATGCGCACGACTACGAACCCAAACCTATATTTCTGGATCTGTGGTCGGCGGCACGTGACGCGGGCGGGAGCGGAGCGGAGGTCCTCACGCGTGCCAAGATTGCTCTGGTCCACGCCACGCTCGAGTACCTCTTCAAGCGGGTCAACCACGGGGACCTCCGCGTGCTTCCCGGCGCTGTCTTCCTGCCGTCGGTGTATTCGGCAGCTCCTCCTGCGGCCCAGCCCGTGGTTCCGCCGCCCCCCGCGCCAGCCGCCAGCGCGCCCGCCTCTCCTCCCGCGCCCGCAGCGACAGCCAACACGGCAGCCGCTACGTCTTCTGCCGCCACCGCGGCGGCCGCGACGTCTGGGCCCGCAGCACCGCCGGGGAGCCACACGGAGGACGACGAGGAGGGCGCAAAAAAGCGGGCCCGTACGGATGGAGCGGAAGGAGTGGCTGGCAGTTCTTTGGCGGGAGAGCCTTCCAAGAGGATGGCAGCGGGGGACAGCGCGGGCAGCGATCGTCCGTTGTTCAAGGTGTCGGTGCAGGCGGAGGTGAGTTTTATTTCCGCATGCGTGTGAGGTTTTGAGACGGCCTGCCTGTAAGGAGGCGCATTAGGCGCGAGTAGGTGCAGGAAACACATCTTCGCTCACATATTTTTACATCCAAGACCTGTCGCTCGAGGTCGGCAAGACGCACTGATGTTGGCCTCACGTACGATGCCGTCAGACAAGCGCGTCCTACGGCGTCAGATATAGCGCGGAGCATACCACCCGGCGCGACAAATGGCTCGCAGGAGGGCCAGTACAGTTGGAAGCGTGAGGCAGAGCCGTCTGTGTGTTTCGTCTTGGATCATTGTTTTCGCGTCGAGCGCGTTGGGACATGTTGATACGAATTGGGTGACTTGATACAATATCGGAACAAGCGGCACTGGTTGTTTTCGTTTGGGTCCGGCGGGGACACCCGCGATTTGGTTTGTGATCGTCATTTCATCCCGGATGCAGCAGTCGCATTGCCAAGTTGTCACACGCGCGCGATAACGCGACTACGATGTTTTGCGATAGGAAATAGTAGGCGCTGCCGGCATTTGCTAGCACGCAGACGAACACGCCACAAAATATCAACATCTAGAGCTCCGCCTCAACACGTATTTTGGGTGATCGCTCACTGTTAACACGGCCAATCTCGGAAGAGGAACTTTGACCCACCCGCTAAGAAGCAACCAGTCTGTGAGTCAAAGCATGAGAGGTAGATCTGGATAGATCTTGCCTAGACCCCCCTTGCTAATCCCACTTGATTAGACCCACAGGGCTAGACCCACCGGGATGGTATCCCTTTTGCTAGCCCCCAACTTGAATCCAATGGTAAGATACGATGAAACTGACCATGAAATGGATGAAACTAATTGAACCCTAGCCAGTGCTTGTTACGCTAACACATGAGTGAGCTACCCTAAGCGATAGCGTTATAACCACTGTGACATGGTGGAGGAGTAAGCACTTTCCTCACAAAATGCTAATGCACCGCATATTGCGCTCTGGACACAACGTTTTTTCGGGGGCATTGCGCCATACACTCATGCTCTTCACCTGGTACAACCAGCAGAAGCTTTCATCCATCCATATGGCTGCGAGTTCCTGTAGGCAATCTGCTCTATACCCGCGCCGTTATGCCAGTTGGTTGTCATCACCTCTTGATTGATGCTCTACCACAGCGGTTCGTAGATTTCGTACATTTTTTTTTTTTTACCCCGTCCTTTTCCGCTATCTCCACATACCGAGCGTGGACATGCCACCAACCCACTGTTTATGTCATTGGCAGTGCTGCGTTTTCCCTATTTTCTTGTGGGTTGGAGTGTGTTCCAAACCAATTTAGGGATGCACGTGACACTATGCGGTGCGAGGGTTGGCAAGGTTGTGCTGGTGTTTATCAAATCTCCGCACACGTATGCATGCAATTCTCCGCTGTACCTCTCTGAAACCGTCATGCAGCAGGCGTTTCGTTCGCCCTTGCCACAGCTGATGTACAGATGCAGCAGCAGTCCTTTACCCACCATTACAGAATATCTTTGGTATGGGACTAGGATTCGCTTGAAGAGCTATGCTACATGTGGCAGATATGGCCCTGCTGCTGAGGGGTACTTTCCTCAATTATGCGAAAACAGCATTGACGCGACGCTGTTATCGTTCAACCATACATACATGGGGAATCATATGCTGACACACACCGTCAGGAAATGGATCGATCATAATAATAAATAGTGGAATGCTAAATGATTATGTAGATTTATTTCCATTGTGCTTGTTGTGTGTACAGCATATGGTATAGGAAGAGAGGAAAATATACTTGTGTAGTGATACAGGTACGTCATGTACTGTAGCGCTACGATCAATATTAATAGTTGTATCTTTCTACCACTCGACGGCTGTCTGTGGCATATCTTCCCCATGCATCGGAGTCAATTAACCGTGTCGCATCGACAACAGTGACGTGGTCGTCAGTTAAGGCTGCTGCTGCTCATCGTTGGGTTGTTTTTCGCATATACTAGGCATCCATCGGAAGACATGTATTTCATGCAATCTTTGGAAAATATTACGCTAATGTCCGAACAAGGGATGGACCGATCGTGATTACAGCACCTTAGTGTGTTGTGTAGCATATTCTAAACAGGTCG